GTATTCCACATCTCGGACTGATCTTTCAGTTTCTATCGAGGATCGTGTTATGTTACTTACCGCTCCAGATCTTGCGCAGGAGGAACGCCGAGGATTTCAGTCGGTTTTCCCGCTTCGTCCCGACTATCTCCCAGATATAATATTCTTGGCTTGCGACTGGCTGTGATAGGGGATGATTTATCTGTTTCACGATGTTAGTCTCAGTCCTTCGAACGCCACAAGCATGGACAGCCATTTGCTCGCGCTCGTCACTAAGGGCTTTGTCTGGCCATTTGAACTCCCACGGCTGGCAAAGCTCCTATGGGCAGTGATCGCACCATTTGACGAGTTGGCATGATCACGTCGGAAGTTCTCTTCAATGAAGTGGCTGAATTGCACCGACCGAGGGTTGGCTTGTAGGAAGCTCTATTTCATGATGCGACCGTTCATAACAAAACTCCCCCGTCGATCAGTCTTTCAGAACAATATTGCTCCATTAATGACGGTGTGCCAGTTGGTGCTTTAGCCGTATACCTTAACCAACAACAGCGATCGCGAGCCTAAGAACTCCATTACACAGAGATCAGAGGTGGCACCTACTACGCCGCTGAATTAGCAGCTACATCATAAATCATCATATATCGTTCCCGACATATTTGGCAACAATGACTAATAGTAGTACTCAATCCTCGCTGTTGAGATCCTATAAATCCGTATCGTCCGTATCCGGTAGAGGAACAATGTGCATCAAGTCGAAACCCAGACGTCGATTGACATCCACGTACTTTTCCGATTCCCATACTCTGCCCCGCATGTGGAATATGTTGAATTTGATGCCCTTCTCATACGTTCCTCTATGAAAATCAATGATGCGAAAGATCCCATTGTCGTCGCAAACAACATTTCGGGGATAGAAGCTTCCTTGCTCAATCCCAGCAGTTTCAAGCACAATGGCAGCGTTGAGGATCTGCAACCTTTCCATTCTGTCAGTTTCACACTTTTACGAGCACATTGGCAGCTCACTTTTTTTGAATGTCAAGATCGAAGTTGCGAAGTGATTGGCCGGAGTATGCTGTGATCAGAACGCTATGGCGATCAGTTGTGAATAAACCAAAACACCGGGGTGCTGGCCCCCCTTCAAGGCCAGCACGACGGATGTGTTGATAGATCTCAAACTCATCTCGTAATGAGTTCCGATAAGAATAGCCTGTGGCCACCTTCACCGCCAGCTGTTGATTCGCCGGCGTAGTGGCGAGATACACGGTACCACAGGTCCCAGAACCAATTTGTTTTGTGGCGAGAACCATCGGCAAGGAGTGCACCGAACCTTCATTAAGGCATGCACTATCCATAGACTTGTCGCCGGATTTCCAAGCAGACATGATATACCATTCGAGGATTTGTGAAGAACTGTGGCCCGCAAACGCTATAACAAGCTTTGATGTCGTTAGTGCAAGGTACGGCTAGTGCATGCGACGGGAGTACCTGTTCGACACCTTCAGCTTCCAGCCGCCTTGGCCGTATACCATTATCTGCTCGAACAGGATCGGGCATGTTGTCAATGATCACGGAGGTTTGTATTTGTGCCTGAATTTTTGACAACTGTAGGGAGACCATGGTTGGAAGTATGAGATGTCGCTGCGCATAGGGAATAGTGTCGGAACATTCGATAATCATCCTGCCTTTGGAGTCCGGAGCGCAATGAAGAACAACAGTCTGAGAAGGACAGGTGATGACGATATGTGATGATTCGGAGACACCGAATTGATGAGCGACCTGGGCAAAGAATTAGTACAGTTAGCAGGGAGCGCAGTGAGAATGTACAAATTCTAGGAGCTCTTGAAGCGCTGATATAGGGCCAAGCACCCCAAGAGAGAGTATTGTCGTTTCTTGTTGTGCCAACTGAACTAAATCGACAAGAAATCCACCCGCCGCGTCCAGGAGGCCAACCACAACGATTTCGCGATGATTTCGAGTGGTCTTGATTTTATAATTAACTTGGTCCCTGTTATTCTGGCACCAATTTGGGGTAGCTGACGAGTTTTGTATACAAGTAGCGGTGCAGCATGAGTTTGAGGGAGGAGGGTTGTTGGTATCGAGTAAACTGCCGTTGGAAGCTCGGCCCAATACGTCGTTCGTAACTGCCACAGTCGCGTCGCATAAGGACTGCGTGCGGGACTTGACCGACTCGGTCATTGCCGAAGATTCGGTCCATGACTGAATTTTTTCAAACGACTGACTGTTTCAAATGGACTGACTGTTTCAAATGGCCTTCGACAACGCCTTGGGTTCACCCACAATGTCGAACCCTTAGCGGCTGGGTCGCGTTCGGATAGTCCATTCCAGCACGGCGCAGGATCCGGCACCAGACAATTTTTTGACAGCCCGGCCGCGCCAAAACAATGTGGTGATGACGCGGAAGACGGAAGTGTGATCACGTGACGCATGTGTTTCAGTTTGATAGCGGGACACTTTGCCTTCTAGTCCTGAATTTGTTTGTCAAGCAGACGGATCATGCTCATATTATAAATCACGCAACTGACAATCACTTGAGTCCTATGCCCCTTGCACAAGGCGTCCTCACACCGCAGACGCGGGTCCAACGACCAGCTCAAACTTCTTCCCACTTGCCTCTGGGGCGACTTTCACCACCAGCTCGCCTTGCCTCTTGATCAGCTGGACGTTCCCCGCTTCGTCTCCCTCTAATCTTGCCTCCCATCCATCTCGGAACATCCGTTTCTCGTCCACAGCGATGTTGAACTCCTCATCCCCCTTGCTCAAAAAAACCGCCTGCCATTCTTTCTTGTCAAAGGTGAAGGTTTCCTGACACAGCTCCGTTTTCTTGAGTGTGGAGACGAGCGGGGGAGCCCCTGCAGCGAGATAGAAGTCCCGTGCTTTGGCAACACACAGCGGGATCTCGGTCGCGATGCGGTCCTGGATCCAGGCAGGGATACTACCGTTCAAGTTGACTGTATGAATTCAGCATACAGAGCGCAAAGTGTAGAGCGGGAAGGACGGACTGTGCACAACGTAGGTCACCTCTGTGTCGTCCCCGTTACGCATGAGCGTCCAACCCGCAAAGTCCAGCGTTGCGCGAACCTTCCCGTTCACGGGAGGCGTCTGGTCGGTATCCGGCACGGAGGTCTGAACGTTCTGTACCCAGCTGCCGTCGTCTGCGAACTTAGTCGCTTGGGCCCCAACAATGTCCCTCCCAGAGACGGGCCATGTTCCTGCACGCATGTGAGTATCTCTCCCAAGCAATCAGAAATAGGGCTGACCTTTTTGTCCAGTGTAAAACTTGCCCTCGCTCTGCGCGTACTTCTCGAGCGAGAACCCCGTCTCAAAACGCGCGTCCCAGCGTTCCCTGCACCCAGGGAGGGCGATCGCCTGCAACATCTCCCTCGGCAGTGTGCCTTGCACAACACCCTTCCCACGTACAATGGGTAATCCCGAATCAGTGTATTTCTTCTCTAGAAGGACGTCTTCCTGGGTGCCGATGGTTGACCAGCCTGAAGAGGAGGTCGTCTCGGTCTGCACTTTTGCGAGGGCGATCTCGAGGAGGGCGGTATAGGGGTTGGGGATGTACCCGTTCGGAGCTGGGTCGGTAGGCTGAGGGAATGACATGGTATGAAGATGGGAATGGGGTGTGATGGTGTGGGTATGAGTGCATATATCTACCGTTGGGTTGCATTCACATCAATTCGTGGCAATGGGTGTTGCTCGCACTCCTCGGCTCCGGTCCCAGCTCCGGTCCCATGAACCCTGGAATTCCGTTCGTGCCGGGGAGCATGTGAATTTCAGCCACGTGCATCAACCAAAGTTGCCTTGTGGTGATGCGGAGGTTTGCAGAGCGCCGATGTAGCCGAGACTCTCCTCTTTCTGACGTCGATAATCATCATCCCAATCCGAACTGGGCGGGCGTTTATCGCATCCACGCACCGCAGCACCTCCCCACATCGGACGGCCTACTCTTTCTCTTTCTCTGCTTCACTTCCCACAACCTGGACAAATGACGATGAGAAGGGCACAATGCGCACACTTCTCATCTCATTATGCCTACTCAACGGCATATCGGCGCTGACATTGCTCGACTCCTACTCCCCTTCTAGTCTGCTCACCAACGCCTGGGTTGGGGGCATAGTGGCTCTGCGTTATCTCACCTCCCATTCACTTCCACCTGCATTCCGACCCGCCCTCAGAAACCTACACAAGCGCATTACCGAGCCCGCATACCATCAGTGTGTCCTCTCCAAGACACCGGGGAACAATGTTCTAGGTGCCAACGGTACCGCACCAGCAACATGGGGTATCGAGACCCAAACAACGACCACGATCACGCGGAGCATCCCCACTGGGGCGATTTCAAGCACAGATCCTACCACGAGCACGAGTACGTCCTCTACTTTTAGTTCAAGTACCTCGACCAGCCAGGCGAGCTCGTCGGCTGCGCCAACACCAACCACTGCTACTTCAGATCCGCCTCCTTCGACGACTAGTACCACCTCTTCGACTTCGCCATCTCCAAGCTCGATTTGGAACCTTGTTGAGTCTTTCGTACGCCTATTTCTTAAAAGCCGGGTTTCGCGTTCCTTCACTTATGCATGACTCAGACTGGACAGTCATTCTTCAACGGGTTCACCTTCTGGGACGAGACAGTTGACGGCGGTGACCCGACGCATGGTACGCCTCTTCCCCCCACCTGCCCTCCAACTCACATCTCCCAGGTCTGGTTGACTACGTTGGCTACCAAACCGCGCAAGACCTCGGCCTAGTCAGCATCAACCAACAGCAACACGCCGTTATCTCCGTCTCCACCGCTGCAATAAACAGCACCGTTTCCCGCCCTTCGATCCGGATCAGCACTACGCGCACCTTCACGGGTGGGCTTATCATCGCAGATATCTACCATATGCCTACCGGGTGTGGCACTTGGCCTTCATTCTGGACTTGTGGACCCAACTGGCCACAGGGAGGAGAGATAGACATCATCGAAGGCATACATCAGGCGTCGATCAATACCGCGAGTATACATACAAACCCAGGATGCTATATGCCCGCGAATTATGGTGCAAGCGGGAGCTTGCTCACGCAGCCGCCGACGGGACTGGACTGTTCTGCAGCGGATACGAACGATGCTGGGTGCGGGTTAATCGCTAGTGGGCAGAACACATACGGGGCAGGGTTCAACACTGCCGGAGGGGGAGTGTATGCTAGTACGTCTCTTCCCCCCCCTACCGGGTTTTGGAAATATGTTGATCTTAGAACAGTGCAATGGGACGAGACGGGCATATACTCGTTCTTCTTCCCACGCGGAACGACCCCTGCGGACATTACATCCGGGTACCCGAACCCGTCCTCTTGGGGCGAACCCGTTGGTGCTTGGCCTGCGAGCACTTGCAACCCCTACCAGTTCTTCTACAACCATGTGGCTATATTCGATACTGTGAGTGTCCCCTTCTTCCGTTGTGTGAAAGAGCTGACCCGTGGGAAAGACACTATGCGGAGACTGGGCGGGCGCGGCGTGGTATGGTACTCCCCTAGGGCAGAGCCAGAATTGTGCCCAGATCACGGGTTACTCGGACTGTAACAGTTATGTAACAGCGAACGGGAGCGCGTTTGCCCAGGCTTGTGAGTCATCTTATCCCTATCCTCAAGTGAGGGAGCAGTTGTCGACGGACGAGCAGATTGGGAAATCGCGAGTGTGGCGCTGTATCAAAAAGCAGGCCAGGGTGCATAGTGCAGATCCCCGTTGGGCGAAGATGTATGTATCTACAAAGACGAGGATGGGGGATATACGATGCAGGAGAGGAAAACTGTTGTATTGTATTGTAACGTACTTCTCTTCATTCGGGACGAAAACAAGGACTGGCTGTAGATATATGCTAATTTTATTAAGACACAGCTTGGATCTTCAAATACGGGACTGCTGTCTTGAGTTCGCAAAAGGAAATGAATCCTATCAAGATGACTCCTTGACAGGGTGGGAGGCAGAGCTTGTGGGTTAGAGGATTCTATCCACGAATAATCGTCTGCGATGACAAGACGTATATCGAATCGTCGACTTCCATGGAGTCACCTGCAGCAGGACGAGGCTACCTGTCAAAAGCAAAAGGGGACCAACTGTAGTTCTATGCAGAAGAAAATGAGTCACATCGGCTGGATGGTTTTGGGCAAATGAGTGGAGATACATTGTCCCACTTTCCAAAACAGATTAAATATTCCGATCTGCTCGAGGTTGTTCGAGTTTGTCACGTGAAAGCCTGACGTTAAAAGGGTCCACATCAAAATCTGCTCCCGGGTTCTTGTATGCAGATGGAGCGAGAAGATGAGCGAGCCTTTTCACTGATCAACCAGCGTAATTGGGTGTGATAAATGCCAACATGCGAACACATCCTTTCTGCTACTTATCCGGTGGTGCGCGCATATCAGCGGATAAGGCGTCGACTTGTACTGCCTCTGGGCTCTTGCCTGGATCATAAAGTCCTCTTGGATACGATACTGTAACCCTCGTACGCCAGTCTCTTGGAGCAGTATGTCGTCAGACTTGGAGAAGCATCCTTCGAAGGTGTCGGTTCCCGCCGCGTCGGTGCGTGCCGAAGAGATACGCGATGGAGATCTCGTGACTGTTGGGGTATCTGAGGAAGAAGAGAAAAAGCTGCTGAGAAAGCTGGACTGGCATATCGCACCCGTCCTTTGCCGGCTGTACCTATTAAGCTTTTTGGATCGATCGAACATTGGGAATGCGGTGAATGGCTCATCATGGCACTCGCACCCGTTGATACTGACTGCATTCAGGCGGTCGCAGGTCTGATCACTGACCTTCACTTACCGTCTAATGGACTAAGCATCGCAACATCCATCTTCTACGTGACATACGTGACGTGCGAATCGCCTAGTGCGGCCTTCCTCAAGCGCTTCCGCCCGAGTCGGATGATGCCAGCCATCATCATTGCTTGGGGACTCGTGATATTGTTCAGTGGGTTCATGAGCACCTACGGTGGATTAATCGTGACACGCTTAATTCTGGGTTGCTGTGAGGCGGCTCTATTTCCGTGCATGAGTCTATACTTGACAATGTTCTATCGGTGAGCATACTCACCCATACTCTCTTGTTTTATGTTAAAATCTATGGCACTAGCCGACACGAACTAGCGCGCAGGACCGCATTCCTATTTATAGCTGCAGCGCTTTCCGGAGCTTTTATGCGTTATGTTCTTGCTTTCGGATAATCCGGAGAAGGCATGGTTCCTGAATGATCAAGACCGACGGGTGATGTGGTACGGCGTCATGTTCACCCGATACTGAACCTTCGTTAAATCTCAACAACAGAATCCGGCAACAACAAGATGCTTCGTATGTGGGCGACTCAGACATGTCTTGGGCCGAGTCTGTGCGGCGATCAAGGACATCAAAGTATATCTGAGCGGCTTTTCCCACCTTGGAGTCGACAATGTGCTTGTTTGGATTCTCGACTTTCCTTCCGGTTATTATCCAGGCTCAATCCTCACGCTATACAACAATCCAAATCCAGCTCCTGACGGTCACGATATACGCCTGGGCCGCGCTCATCTATATAGCACTGGCCATGTTGTCGGATCGCATGAATCAGCGGGCGATAATTATGATACCTTGTGCTATAATCTCTATGTATGCTCTTCGATGTTTCCGAAATAAGCTATGCTCATATGTGACAGTATTGGGTACATCGTCCTGCTCACTGTTCACCACAATCCGGGGGTGGAATATTTTGCTACTTACCTAGTTGGTACTGGGATCTATCTGGTATGCCCATTCCTTGATTACGACTACGTCTCTCACTCATTGAGCGTCGGTAAGTGCGTAGGACTGAACGTTACCTGGTTTAACCAAAACCAAGCTGGGCATCACAAACGTGCGACGGCAATCGGAATTATGCAGGCCATGGGCAATTGCGGTGGGGTGATTGCAGGTCAAATTTACGTCTCATCAGGCTCTCCATATTACACGATGGGACTTCCTGTGTCTCTTGCTAGAATGTGCTGGGCAGTCTGTGATTTTTTTCTCATGTATCTGACTCTCAGATATCTGAATGCTCGCAAAGATCAAATGACGGCAGAAGAAATGGAGGCGATGGATGCTAATTCCGTCAAGGGAGATGCACACTACTCGTTCAAATTCTGCTACTAGCACCGCAGTCGATAGACAGGCTTGGTAGTTTGATAGGTATGTCTGACTAGGGCGTCTTATTGTATGAGACCTGACGATGAATAATAGGCAAAGGTCTTGCGCTCGTGTAGTTTTCTCACGGGTAAATCCTACGGCGTTTGCAGGAACATTTTACTCCAAATGGCTATCACATCAACAGCTCGCACTGCATGGAGATCAGTTTTTTCACTACGTAGCGAGATAGGAACCAATTCCGGTCCCCGGAATCTCACTTTGGATTGAATGATGATGAAAGCATCAAATGCCTCTTAGAAATTTTGACATTCGGCCCGCCTGTATCGAAAGAGCTCTTCGGGTTCGGATCTCAGTCCGGTTGGTCCATCAGTCAAGTGAGTTGGTCAGAAGACTCCCTTTGAGTACAGCTGAGTTCAAAGGAAGCCGAGCTCCGTGGTAGCCTGGCGAAGAAGCGCTCAACCATGCATATGTGCCTGGCCTAGAAATTTGTATGCAACCACCCAGATACGACGTGAGAGAGACGTGGGAGCACGAGATGATGGTCTCGGTTTCTCGGTCCGCCTTAATTCTTCCCACCCATGAGCATCAAAGACGTGTTCAAGGTATGGAACAATCGATGCGGAAAGAATTGCTACTGCGGTTCGGAGGGCGGCGCGTTATCGTCCCGAATTGTGCGCCTGACTCATGCAGTCTAAATAGGAACTACCGGACCTCAACTCATTCCATCGTCGTCTATCGTGGGATTAAACAATTGCCGGCGACTTGGCGACTTGCGTAGGCGATGAAGCAGCTTCCAACCTCGTCCAACCTGGATAACATTGTAACTTGGTCCCGTGCGTTGCAGCTGCGCGACAGACGATCGAGGACGAATGATATGCGTGCCAAGACCATCTGGGATCCGGGCCGACTCCCCGGACATATTCACAAGGCTTCGCACATGGAGACAGGCATTCTTCAATTGACCCCTAAAGGCATCGGCATGGGATGAAGTCACCATACACGTCCTTGGCACGCCTTTTTGGTCTGGGTTTCACCGGTGTTTCTCCCGTGTGCGGGGTTCCCCACAGGGTTCCCCGCACTTGCCGGCTTTGATTCTATCAGCCAACGTCGCATCATGGGCTCGCTGACACGCTTCATGTTCCTGCCCGAATCTCTGCACGCATAGGAATGTGCCTGTTTGCCTTGACGCTGGTTGCTTCTCTACATCCGAGCCAGCACCATATAAAAGTCATTTCGGCACGGCTAGGATGGAGGTCCTGCTAGCGCTGCAAGCTCCTGCACTGCTCCACTTTCTTCAGGTCAGCCTCGCACACCATGTCTTTAACACACCAGGACAAAACCGAAGAGGTCTACGTCGAGGATTCGAAGACCCACGGCAACGAGAAAGGCTCCGACTCTCATGATCCCAAGAACCTCTTTCCCGCCAACAGGCGGATGACTGCCGTCGAGAAGCAAGAGGCGCTGAGGCTTGCTGAGATGGCCGATCCAGGTATTGAGACGTTCTCATACCGTGGCTTCATCCTCGCCCTCTACGTTCTTTGCGTCTGTTGCTGCTCTGGCGATAACGGCATGGACCCCACCGTGATGAGTGCCATCAATTCCATGACCCAATTTCAGTCATACTTTGGCATCGCCTCTAGTGCTGGAGTTCCCAAAACAGGCGAGTCCTCACACCAGCATCGAGCGTTCCTGACCATTGTTATGCTGTAGGCATCGTATTCGGTATTTATACGATTGGAAATGTTTGTTCAGTCTTTCCGAATGCGTACTTGCCCGACCGGATTGGCCGCAGATGGAGCATGTTCGTCGGAAACCTTGTCCTCATGTACGTACTGTCGCATTCAACTCGGGAGAGTGCTGATGTGAGACAGTCTTGGCGCTATGTTGACCGCTAACGCAACGAGTATGAGTATGTTCATGGCTGGTCGATTTCTAACTGGTATTTAGCTTCCTAAATTCTCAACGTAGTACTCACGAATTATGCAGGTTTCGGATGTACGTTTGCCGCGACGAGCGCCAAATCCTACCTTGCCGAAATCACCTCCCCTTCGAGCCGTGGTCGCTTCATGGGTTTACTCAACTCTTTCTATTATGTCGGTCAAATCGTCGCTTCAGGAATCGCTGTTCCTACAGGAAGGTATGAACATGCCCTTAATGCGTCCCAAAGGAGATTGACCATACTTAGATATAACAATGACTATTCGTGGCGAGCCCCGCTCTTTGTGCAGGGTATCCCGGCCATCCTCAATGTTGCGTTTGTCATGTTCCTCCCCGAGTCACCCCGTTGGCTGTACTCTCGTGGTCACACGGACCGTGCGGCGCGTATCCTCGCCGATCTTCACTCTAAGGAGAGGGATGTAAACTCGCCGTTGATCCAGCTCGAACTACGCGAAATCGAAGAAGTCATTTCCCTCAATGATGCGACCAAACACTGGTGGGACTTCCGCCCTCTATTCTTCACTGCAGCCTCCAGATACCGCATCTACCTGTGCATCATGGTCTCGGTATGGGGTCAGCTCTCTGGCAATGGTCTCATCACCTACTATCTCACTGTCCTACTCAACCAAGCCGGCATCACCAGCCCCGATCGGCAACGGGTACTCAACTTCGTCAACTCGATTACTTCATTCGTTGGTGCACTCAGTGGAACCGCTATTGCGGACCATGTCGGTCGCCGCTTCCTCATGCTTTTCGGTTCATGGTGTTGCGCCGCCGGTATGAGTATCGTCGCTGGTCTATTGTCCAACACCGGTCCGCAGAGCGTCATGCGCGCTAATGCGGGCGTCAGCTTCATTTTTTTGTTCATGGTGTTCTTTTCATTCGGTTGGACACCAATCCAGGCGTTGTACCCCACCGAGGTGTTATCTTTCGAGATGCGGGCCAAGGGTCTTGCGTTCCAGACCCTCATCACTCAGGGTGTTTCCTGCATCAATACCTTTGCCCTTCCTTCAGCGCTTGCGGCGCTCTCCTGGAAAAGTATGCCGGACCATCGAATGTCGAGTGATTGTAACTGACTTGATCCTCTAGCGTACATCATTTTCGCCTGTTGGGATGTCGTTGGTATCGTGACTGTGTGGTTCTTGGCTGTCGAAACCAAACAGCTTACATTGGAAGAGATGGACGCAGTGTTCGAGAGCGACCATCCGCGCAAGTTTGCAGATCAGATGAGCAAAGAAGCACGGAAGAGGGTGAAAGAAGATCGTGCGGCTAGGAACGCTTGATGGCTGTTAGGTCCCTGAGGGTGAAGTCTGTGCTCAGGTTTATGGGATACTTGATTTCTGTATGATGATATAGGATGGATGGATTGGACGTTATCTCCATACCTTGGAACACCAAGAAAGTATCTTGTGCTGGACCTTTGCGAGCGGGGTTCCTGGGCCGATGGAGCTTCAAAACGCGCTTTCGTCTTGAAGGACCATCGGCCGCTTCCGTCCCCACCTGTTTCAATGCCCTCGGTTTCATCGTCATCTGGATGTTCGCGGTCGAGACGAAGCAGTTGACACTCGAGGAGATGGACGAGAGCGCAAATCCATGTGAGACGGCTAAGCTTGCCAACAGAGAGGCGAGGAAACGGGCTTTGCAGGACGGTGATGCTCAGCATGCTTGAGTAAGCACCGCCGGGATTGTAAGACACTCCTCAATCTTGTGCTACGACATTGGTCAGATATTTTATTATATCAACTATGAGAGAGATGTTGGGTATTCAATACGACATGTCACGTTGATGAACAAGAACTCATCGGAGAAGAAAGGAAGAAGCGCCGAAAAAGGAGAATTCACGTGCTTCTGTGGGAGCGCAGCCACTAAGATATAACCTCCTCTCCTCTCTGGCTTGCCCAGCTCTGCTCTTTCCTTTTTCCTCTGTAATAACTGTAGCTTCAACGTTGTCAATGGCCTATGCTTCTTCTTCCCCTCATCTGGACTTAACGAACGCTGCAGGACCAAGTAGCGTCCCCTTTCCGCGGGGCTCTGAGCTCAGCCTGCTGGTTGGCGGCGAAGGCGACTTCCACGCGCGTCCGCGGCTCGAGAGTTGGCGTCGGGCGAGCGCACTCGAAGTGCACGATCTGGTGTATGGATCCTACTACTCGTCGAATGGCGGTGATCCTGTTGATGGGGATGCGGAGAAGGCACAGCAGGAGTTCAGGGAAAGAATCGAAAGGCTATATGAAACCGATGCTGGTGTGCAGATTCCATCTCGCCGAAACGGAGAAATGCTCATCCCTGTTACAGTCTACGAAAATCCCCTTCTAACAGCGGACAGCCGTACACTCATACTGTATCTCTACGCACTCACGCACAAGTTGTCCTCCCTTGGTGTCCCACGGCTGCGCCTGTCATCCTTTCTCCCCTTCTTGTCGCACGACCATCCCAAGCCCTTCCCTCTCTTGCACGTCTGGTGTGAAGTGATTGAAACATGCGAATCTGAGTCCTTTGATGGTGCTCGCATGGCGATGCTTGAGCAGACACTGCATATCCTCTTCCTGCCCGAATGGCACACTTCCACCGGACGGCCAAGCTCGACCAATAGCCTGGTGCACCACCCAGGAGATAGTGGAAGTACCGTCAGCCTCCTGAGTACAGCGGCTGCACTGGGTCAGGCGATGGCCCCTCCACCGAAACTGAAGCTGCCCTGGCCTTTCGGCGGGAAAGGAGAAGACACCGGTCTCTCAAGCCCATTCCATTTCCAACTGCATGTCATCACTCGGCTTCAATTTAACGAAGGTGGGAGGATCGCTATGCATAGGGACTTTTGGGGTGTGTGTCGTCTTTCTGCTTTGACGCTGAGAGCTAAAGGTGCTATGATAGATGTGAGAGATCTCACCGAGGCTCTTTTCTCCTTCTCGACCCTTTTTGGATGGTTCGCTCGCCGTCTTATCGCGTACAATCTTATCGCTTTTGCCTGGATTTTTTCCTTGGTCCCTTCGTTCCCTCGACGCGCCTCAACTTCTGTGCCTCCTCACTCTTTCTCCCACAGTGCGATTCCCACACCCCGTGCTCGCACGCGTACTTCCACCTACACCGGCGCTGGAGGAGCCGTGAGCCCTATCTTGCGTACGACTACGTCATTCACTAGAGAACAAGAGGGGATACTTTCTGCTGGTTTGGGACTCAGCTTTGGGGCTGGGGCCCGGAATATGCAGGTTGGGGATGGGGCAGGGCAAGCGCCGGATACGGATCGGGATTCTATGTCCTGAGGTTTCGGGGCTCAACTTTGTTATTCTCTATGTTGTTTCATTATTTGTAAAGTATTATGTGCAGAGCGTCCCTTGATGTCTGTAGTCAAGAACGAAATGAACAAGTAGCAATGATAACGACTTTTAGTCCTGATGAACATGTGATTCGCTGGTCTGCTTCCGTCTAACTATCGTGAACCCTGACAGGCCAAAAAGTTGACGCTCCCTCACTGGCTCACGCACGCCAACATGGTCCGGATACGAAAGAGTTCTGTTTTTCTTTAATCAGATGTTTATCTCAGCTGATTTGAAGTACTTCAGAATCAAGCAAGCGTGGTACGACGAATCAGAGAGAAAAAATCAAACGTAAAGTCGCTGAGCACCGTCACAAGTCAAAGAAGGAAGCGAAGAAAAACGTTCAATGGAAGTCCCGTACGTTTCCTTCAGCAATTTGATATAGCCGTATAGATTAACGGCTATTCAGGAAAGCAGAAAGACCCAGGAATTCCTAATTCCATGCCTGCTAGCATGAGGGCGCAGGTTTTAGCGGAGGTAGCGGAGCAGCGACGGATTGTAGGCGATCTCTTGCCCAGCATTGGGCCACGGAGTGAACTCACTTGACGAACAGGCCGACGAGGACAAGCGAAGACGACAAGAGGCGAGGAAGGCTGCTCGGGCTGCTGACAAAGGTGAGAAGGAAGGATCTAAGCGCAATGGCAACAACGCCTTGGTCAACGGCACAGTACTTGCCCTGTCTGCTGCCGAAATTGTCGTTGATGAGGACGACGAAGCACCACACCTGGCTGCTGTGGGAGAAGACGCGGAGGAATGGAGTGGATTTGGTGGTGACGATGACAAGGACATGGACGAAGAGGCTGACGAGGGGGAGGACGAGGACGAGGACGAGGAGGAAGAAGTCGATGAGGACGATGAAAGCAAGGATACCGAAGCACCGTCCGGATCGAAACCTAAACCATCACTGTCGAGCAACGCCGTCAGTCCTAAAAACCGGGTCTCTAACACGACCACTGATGAATCTCCGCAGATCAAGATTTCCTCTGGCGGCGACAAGAAGGCGAAGGGAACGGCCCAAGTGAAGGAGGGTGAGGAGGCGTATGATTTTGGCATGTTCTTCTCGTAAGCAGTTTTGTTTTTCGTCGTCAGTACATATACACTAGATTGGTGCACTTAATATCACTTACATGCTGTACCACTAAAGCTCTGGATTATGAGATGATGTGATTGTATTGCCCGCAATAGTTCTGTAAGGAGATGGAGAAAATGACAAAGTACAACAATTACTCTGTAGGTAAAGTAAGGGGTTATGAAATAGAATACATATCGTCACGGGTCAGCATTGAGAACACCCGACCACCCAGAGAAATTGATAAGAACCAAGTCATACGCTTTATTTCATTCCTGAACGTGCTCTGAGCTGATCTCTGAGCGTCTGGTTCTCCGTCTGGGCGGCATTAAGCTCATCTAGGAGCTGTGCCCTCTGGCTGACTTCAGCGCGCTTAATAGCATCCACTTCGTCCTGCGACTCCTGGAGCGACCGCTTGAGCTCCGAAACCTGCGCTTCCACCTTGCTCCTCGCTGCCTGGGGGGCATCGGCAGCTTCTGCTGCAAGGGCGAGCGCACGCGCGGACAAGACCTTGTTAGCTTCGCTGAGGGAGTGACAGGTTTCTGCCTGGATGGCCGCTTGCTCTTCGAGGACTCGCTTGGCATTGCGCACGTCTTCAATCTGTCGCTGGAGATCCGAGATTTCCGCAAGTCTGTCGTTATATATCAGAATCTACGAGCATTATACTCACACCAACAACTCACAGCCCTGCTTCCCTCTGGGTGGTGCCTTGAAGCCGCTCCTCCATTGCCCGCACCTGTTTCTGGTACGTCTCCATCCCAACTCTTCCCTCCTGTGCGAGTCGCTGACTCCTTTCCGCATTGGCCTTGAGCAGATCGTGGGCCTGGGCAAACCGGATTAAGCGCTCCATGAGTGCTTTATCATCCACAATGAGAGCCTTGCATCGCTGGACGAAGGTGTCGACAGTGAAGCCTTCCGCGGTGGTGCCGCTGGTGGGAGACGACCGGCCCTTGGCTGCATCACCATACAGCTGCTTGAGCGTCCGGACATCCATATCGCTCAGGCTGCTGTTGCCACCCCCTGGGGCACCACCGGTCGGGCTCACCCCGCCAGGTCGAACAGCACTGGTGGGGCTCGTAACACTCGTGGGTGTGCGGCTCCTGCTCCTTCCAAGGCCACTCTGAGAGCGCGCCTCAGCCGAAGGGAGGAGGTTCCAGAGTTCGGAGAGCGCTGCAATAAGTCGGGCATTCGCACGCTGGGCGTCATCGGCCGTTCCGTAAGGCTGAGAGACGCGCTTTTCTGTTGAACCAGGGCGAGAGCTTGCTTGTATCTGACTTGTGAGTTCGTGGCGCAAGTTGTCGACTTGCTTGCGGGCATCTTCCACCTCTCTTGCCAGCCGTTCACGCAGGGTTTCCACCTCAGCCTTGAGCCGGTGCCGTTCTTCTGCCCATTGCTCTTTCTCCTGACTCAGAGCATACGAGGCCTCGAGATGTTGCTCAAGATCAGCAAGGGCGTTGTCGTCCGAGCCCGTATGTTCCCTGGCGAGCCTCTCGACCCCCCTTTGTATGTTCTCCAGCTCTCCGATTTTCCGATCCTTCACTTCCACCCGAGCAGCCCAGGCCTCCCTCTCCCGCAGTCTCTCCTCCTCATCCTGCCCCGAGGCACTGGTCCTCCCACGGTCTAGCTCAGCCTCCAATTCCAACTCCCGAACCCGTCCTTCCCACTCCTCATTCTCCCGCCTTAGCTCAACCATCTCTGCCCTCAGAGTACTAGAGCGCATCTCCTCCCCTTCCAGCCGCTCCAGATCTTTCTCCATCTCTCGCATATCTTGCTTTACCACCGCCAGTTCGCTTTCCCGCTCCTTCTTGTCTCTAATAGCACGCTCCAGCCGCTCCCTCAGTCCCTTCCCCTCTGAGCGTAGCGCTTCCATCTCCTTCTGGGAGTCTCGCACCTGTTGCTCGAGCGCGGCCACCTTCTGCGCAGTGGGTGTTTTCGGTACAGGGGGTATGACTGCTCCCTCAGAGCCCGCAAACAGATGGGGTCCCGTGAACTTTGTCGGGCCGAATTTTGGTGTACCCGCTCTCGAAGTGCCCGCACTTCTCGCGCCTCCAACTGCAGAAGCAGGTGATCGCGGGTCTGAGAATACTGTGCTGCTGCCGTCGATCGCACTGGCTACTTCGTCCACCTCTTCATCGCCTTCCACTGCGGGACTCAGGCCTACTTTCTTCTCGAGGGCTGTCAAGCTCCAGCTCAATACACCAGCTCGATGTTCTCCCAACTTCCGGCCGACCTCCGCCACTCTCTCAGCGACCTTTCCTATCTCCCGCTCAACCTGCTCAACCTTGCGCACCGCTTGGTCGTATTGTTCTGAGGTGGCCCTGCTCATCCGCTTGTGTGTGGCATGCAGCTTAGCTAGGGACTCAGCAGCGTTGCGGATCTTGGTCTCAGTGCGGAGCTTCCCACGGAGAGCGGAGAGGCGCGTAGAGAGGAGCGCATGTTCTCGTTTGAGATCCTCAACTTCGTCCATGCTGAGCATCTGAAAATCGCGCGCATCGACGACGGCCTGCGAGGCGAGAAGCGAGAGGAGCATGTCGTCGCTCGTGTCCAAGAGAGTGCTCGAATGCTTGAGTCGCCATTCGGGGGTGTAAGGCTCTGGTCCGGTGCGCCCCTCGGAGGGGGAAGAGACAGATGCACGGGGAGCGGAGGCAGCAGATCGTGCAGGCGAGCTGAGCGCGCTCGGAGAGTCGTACATGAACGCATTCCGTGTTGGGGATGCGTTGGGGGTGATGCTGACGCTTTGTGCAAGCCGAGCAACACCATTGGTAGGAGCCGGCACCGTGCCTTTGAGGGATTTTGCGAATGATGGTGGGAGTTCAGGTGCAGAGCTCTTTCGTTTGCGGCGTCGGGTGCTTTCGAGCGAGTCGTTGCGCAGGAGGCGGCCATCGCTAATCGATCCGCCATCTTCCTCGCAGTCTTCGGGTGGGGAAGGAACAGATGTAAGAGCACGTCGAGGCAAGCTTCGTGGACGGGTACCAGACGTAGCAGACGAGGAGATAGAGGACGCATCCCGCGATTCCGGCCGACGAAAGAGCCCCGCTTTGACCGTGGTTCCAGGGGATGTTGGTGGAGGAGAGATACTGCCAGTTGTGTCAGTGTTGTACATTGACAATTGAAAAGGAAAAAACGTACGGAAGTGTGTATGATGTCCCATTTGGACCGTTCACAGATGAACGATTATTAGGACTAGGAGAACGTGGGGGCCAGTTGGGTCGCTTGCCCGGCGGTAATCCTCGGAACGACTCCATCCCTCCCATACCCACTGACTTGTTGAAGTTAAGGGGTGCAGGTGCAGGAAGTGGTATATCAACGGACGGCCGTGACTTGATGGGTGATGATGATCTTGTGGACTTTGTCGGGGAGGACGCGACACTGGACGCCTGGGACTCGGAGGGCGGGGGAGTGGACGTGCCCCCGAGGAGCCGACGTACGCCCAGCATTGCTGATTGATGTTGAAAGTTATGCGGTCAAAGTAACAATTTACAGTTGAAATCGGTAATGTCGACGAGAGAATGAAGAAAAAAGTGTAGTAGTTGTAGTTGTGTATATCAACAAAGGACAGAGCAAGAGTAGAAAGCCTAACAACAGGGCTTCCTCATTTATCACTTATCTGGTGGCTGTGGTTTGTTTGTTTTTTTCTATTTAGACAGTGAAAGACCCTTCAAGGCACTGTGTCAGAAATCTATATCACGTACCTATTAGCCACTTTGAAGGCATAATCACAAGTCTAGGGGAATTCAGGGCACTCCGAATACACAAAGGCATACGTTACTACACAATTCATAATGGTGACATACATGGGACTATATGAGTACCGGAGATGGCGATCTTCCCTGCTCCGTTGTTGTTTCCTGGCCACGGTTACGACGTGACCGTAATCCTGTCACTGGCTCCGTATCAACCAGGACTTGAGCTTCTGACAAATCCCAATTCTCGTCGGTTTCATCGTGCAGCTCGACCTCTTTCATTAGAACCACAGTCAGCAAACCTAGGAAACAAAATGTCAATAAGACCTTCCAAACAATGCTGAGGCTGGCTGCAAATGCGTCCTGAACTTGAACGCGGATAGAGGCCGACAAAGTGGGGATGACGGGAATAGCCGCAAAGGAAACATCTACATTGCCGGGAAAGAGCGTGAGGAAGGCCGTAGGGAGCCGCATCTTCAGCTCGTTCTGGAGTACCGCACCAGCGATTGTGATACCAAACGTTTGAGCCAGGGTTCGGAAAAAAGTGAACAAGGCCATAGCGCTGGCATTGCGAGACACCGGTAGCGGGGCAAGAATGGGGAACTTCACAGTGGTCCAAACCATGCCAAGACCCAAACCGACCAGTGCTTGGAAGCCGACCCATTTCGCCGTGGGGCTGTCGGATTGGAGCAAGCTTAGGCACCCGGTTCCGATCGTCATCAAGATCCAACCAATCCAGTTTTGCGGTACATAGCGTTTTGTGACCATGGCCGAAACACCACCAAAAAGCGAAGCAAATGTCATGGTGATTGCCAGAGCAAGTGAATCCACTCCGGATTGAATTGGAGAGGCAATGAAGCACGCCTGGAACAATACAGGCATGTAGAAGATTACTGCGACAGCGACGATGGAGTGAAAGAAGGTGGTAATAAAGCCTGCAGCAGAAGTTCGATTGGAGAGGAGGTCGAACGGTATCGTTGGCTCGGCGACGCACTTCGCTTCATATGCAAAGAAAGCGACCATTCCCAGAAGCCCAAGAATGAGGGGCACGATAGTTTGTGCGGAGGACCAGGAGACTTCCACACCTCCCCGGGTGAGGGCAATTGTTACAGAGCATGTTGATGCTGCGATCAGAGCGTTACCACTGTTGACAACCCCGTCAGCATTGCTTTCTAAGCACAGAACAGACGGACACCACTCACAACCAATCAATCCTCTTAAACTTCTGTTTGATGCTCCCGCTTGGAATCTTGAGTTTCAGAAAACCAACGACGAGGCAGAAAGCAAGGAACGTGAGAGGTAGGTTAATGCGGAATATCCATCTCCATGTGGCCTTTTGGGACAGTGCTCCGCCCATAAGTGGCCCGATCGAACCAGCCAGGGCCCAAACAAGGGACATTATTCCCATGAACGCCCCACGCTCCTTCAAGGGAACGAGATCTGCGACGATGATTTCGCTCATGGCCAGAATCCCACCGCCGCCCAAACCTTGAACAGCTACCCAACCAATAAGCCGGCAATAGGAAGAAGTTGGTGACCACTCACTTCTTCCAGCGATTAACATATCCATGCTGGTTGCCTCTCCACATAACACTGACCCAAGGAAAAACAAAGTAAGGGCCAAGACGATGATGGGCTGTCTCCCAAACGCCCCGGCAAGCGCTCCAGTCAATCTTGCGAAAGGTTTAGCAGCAACCACACACCCGACCGAACTACTCACGGAAGCCATGCGGCTGAAGCCAGGGTGTACGCGCTCCCCACCCACGCGAAGGAAGCCTCCCCATGTAGATCTGCTACCATACTTGGAAGAGCTGTAGGAATACACGACGTGTCGAGGGCACTCAAGGACCCCGCCATTGCGGTAGCTGCAAAAATGAGCCAGAAGTCAAGACCTCTTTTCGGCTTGACGGCGGTGCTGGTCACAGTTCTGTTCCTTCTTGTGGGCGGCGGTGGGTACGAGGACCGGGGTGTGTACGTGGGCCGAGGTGGGTACATGGGCACCTCAGCGACCATGATGATATCCGGATCATCATAGCTCTTCACGAAGGAAGCGGTGGACTCCATGAGAGACGAAGGGGTGAGTGGTGCGCATCCTCCCTTTGAGTGAGAGGAGTTATAGGGAACACCGCTCTCCTGCTACTGGTCCGCACCAGCGACTGTTTCTTCTGCGCATTGATCAGGGAGCAATTCAATCACCACATTGAGTTCCCACAAACGGAGCACCTGATGCAAAAAGTCAATGCCGTCCTCGGATGAAGTAGGCAGGTATGACATCGTTCACTAACCTCTTTGAGTACGCCGTTTGAATGCGGGGCAGCGTTGGAAGCCTCGGATGAAGTAGGTCTGATATCACCGCAACCGGAGACAATATTTCGATCGCTAATATGGTACGGTGACTCAAGTCTGGAACAAGCGGTGCAAAACAAGGAGGAAGTCAATGAGCCCCAGAGATGCTGTAAATAGGTCCGTCTGACCAAGACTCGGCCAGAAGTTTGCTCCAGAAAATCTGTGCGTATGGAGAGCATCAAGCTCTCAGCAGCAAAATCAAAGTCTGAAATAGTCTTGATATGAGGTTCATCTTCAGTCAATGGAGTCCTTTGTGAGCAAGAGCTCTTACTGAACGACATGATCGTTCAGATGGAAAGACAGAGCGAAAGGAGGTGATCAATATCTAATAGTGGCTGTGTTTTTGTTTATTTTTATATTCATCGATCCCATCTGCGATCTGGGAAGGAATACCCTCAACGTTCATCGTGTGACAGTCTAGCTTAAGCTTGTTGGAGATCGTCTTTGTGTACTTGTGGAATCTCTCTCGCATGCCCCCTTAGAACTGTCGACCGATCTCTTCCTCGACCATCAGGATCAATGTTACCGGGCGCAAGGACTTCTCTTATTCAGCTTGGTTCAGCTGCGCGCTCAACTCCTGATCTGTGCCGGGCATCTCAGATACAATACACATCTCCGTTTCCACCTGACGCCGCTCCAACGGGTCCCGATTCTCGTCTAGATTCCCGCGCAGGATAATCTCCTCCATCAAGGTACTCAATAGCCCGAGAAAACAAATACAAGTGTGATTTTCCATACGACCCTCATGCTGTCCGCAAACGCTGTCATGACCTGAGTCCCCAGGGACTCAGGCCATGTTGGGATAGCAGTGAAGGAGACGTCCACTACGCCTGGGAGCCACGCCAGAAATCCTGGGAAGGTGTGTAGCCAGTTCGTTCTGCGGCACCGCTGAGCCAGTCGTGGTGCCGAATGTCTGGGTAACGGTACGCAAGAAGATGAACAATGCCATCACGCTGACGTTGCGTGACATAGGCAACGGAGCGACGACGGGAAATTTGACACTCGTCCAGATGATACCGAGCCCACAGCCTGTAAGAATTTCGAACCCAGCGCATCTCGTATTGGGCATGACTGGGCGGAGAAGACTGAGCACGCCTATTCCAACACATGTGAGGCACCACCCGATCAAGTTTTGCGGGACATGCTGCTTTCCAGCTCCCTTCCTGGATAAGCCATCTCGTACTTGAGCGGGATAACATCACCCCGCGTTCTGGCACGCCCTCCCCGCTATTACTCCTCCACGCAATGCCAGGACAAGCCAGGTCACGCTCGCCCCGTTCCTTACCCTTCTGAGGCACATCTCGCCCTGCACGACGGCAGCATGTGCCTTGGTCCGCCCAGGAGAGGCTCATGTTTGACAGCTGGCCGTACATGAGACTGCCTTTGGTCACTGCTGTACAGACCCAGCGCTTGCAACCCTGAAGTACTGAACAGCGTCGGACTTGCGCAAAGAATGACGGAAATTTTGGGGAACAACAAGAGCTTTGTCCTTCGGGGCGTGAACGACGTCGTATTCGAGGAGAAGCCTATCCCAATCCGTACGTGCACATACTCCCTTCTCCTCTCTCTCTCGTCGCATCCGACTTAACGCATCTCCAGTGGCTCCAGATGAGGTCCTCATCCAGATCAAGAAGACCGGCATCTGCGGATCCGACGTGCATTTCCTCACACACGGCCATATTGGCGACTTCCACGTCCGATCTCCAATGGTCCTGGGGCATGAGTCCTCCGGTCTCATCCACTCTGTCGGCAGCTCTGTACGATCCCTTCATCATGGACAGGCAGTCGCACTCGAACCGGGTGTCAGCTGCAGACGGTGCGGTGCGTGTAAGGCAGGCAGATATCAGTTGTGCGACAGTATGGTGTTTGCCGCTACTCCCCCAGTGGACGGCACCCTGGCCAGGTACTACAAGCTGCCGGAGGACTTGTGCTATGCACTGCCGGAGGGGATGTCTTGAGAAGACGGGGCGATGGCGAGTCCCCTTCCACTCCCCTTCCTTTCATGCTCGATGCTGATCCTGTTCACAGATGGAGCCCCTCTCCGTGGCCGTCCACGCTGCGAGCAACATCTCCCGTATCACCGCCGGCCAGACAGTTTGTGTTTTCGGCTGCGGCCCCGTCGGTCTGCTATGCATGGCCGTCTCCCGCGCCCTGGGAGCCAGCACCATCGTCGCGGTTGATATCCAGCCTGCGCGACTCGAGTTCGCCCGCAAGTACGCAGCGACGCATGTCTTCCTCCCTCTCAAGCCGGAAGAGGGGGAGAGCAGGATTGCTCATTCCCGCCGGTGTGCGGAGGGGATCTGCGCGCTCATGGGATGGGATAAGGACCTGGTAAAAGGTGTGGGTCTGGGCGGCACAGACACCGTACTGGAAGCAACTGGGGCAGAGTCCTGCATCCAGACGGGGGTGTATGTCGCCCGCCGTGGAGGCGTGTTTACCCAGATTGGTATGGGGGCGGAGAACATCACGCTCCCGATTACGACAGCGTTGGTGAAGGAGCTGCAGATAAGGGGAAGCTTCCGGTACGGCGTGAGTCTAGCCTTACGTCTCCGTTTCATAGCATCTGACTGCGGCCCCAGTACGGCGACTACCCGCTGGCGATCGCCTTTGCCTCTGCGCACAAGATCGACCTCAAGCCTCTCGTCACTCACCGGTACAAGTTCGAAGATGCGGTCGAGGCGTTTGAGTCCACAAAGAATGGGAAGGATAAGGACGGGAAGTGGGTCATCAAGACGCTGATTGACGGACCCGAGTAGATTGTTGTCCGCTCCTGTTGGGAGTACCGAAAGGAAATTTCTGAAACATAGAAACAAAGGATCATCTTCTTGCTTTTGAATGCCACTTCAATTACGCGGTGAGACTCTGAATCCCAAAACGATAAACATTGAGACATCGACCTCTGCTTTGTGCGTCTCTGGGAATCAGGCACCACACTCTCAGAGCAAACCTCAATGGACTACAATATTGGTACTCTCGTGCATATCAAGCAGCATCCATCCTACCCCTGCTCTCGCGTCTCACACGATACTACTGGAAGAAAGCCGCCACATAAAAGCGAGGCTGGCGTACGCGGAGGAGTGATCATGACGTGTTGTATTATCACGATACACTAACGTATACAAGAGACTTATTCAAACATGACAATGGCAATGTGCTTCATCTATACCTGCTTTCAACCAGCTTGTTACTGGCCGAAGGGCGACTTGTTCTCGACTCTGTCCCTGACTCCATCTCAACTACGATGTCTGGAGCTTTTGATAGATCCTAATTCTTGTCGGTCTCCTCGTGCAGCTCGATTTCCTTCATCAAAAGCGAGGCCAATAGTCCAAGGAAACAAAACGTCAGCAGGACTTTCCACACAGTGCTGAGGCCATCTGCAAAGGCTTGTTGAACCCCAACACAGACAGCTGCAGGTAAAGTGGGAATGAAAGGGATAGATGCGAAGGATACATCCACATTTCCTTGGGAAGAGCGCAAGGAAGGCGGAAGGGAGGCGTGTCTTGAGCCCGTGTGTGTCCACTTGGAGAAAACTTCCGCTCAATACAAATTGTGTTGCTGAGTCCAGTCCTTCCCCGAGGATGTACATGAGCTGGCACGCCGTCATTAATGGAGCAATATTGTTCTGAAAGACTGATCGACGGGGGAGTTTTGTTATGAACGGTCGCATCATGAAATAGAGCTTCCTACAAGCCAACCCTCGGTCGGTGCAATTCAGCCACTTCATTGAAGAGAACTTCCGACGTGATCATGCCAACTCGTCAAATGGTGCGATCACTGCCCATAGGAGCTTTGCCAGCCGTGGGAGTTCAAATGGCCAGACAAAGCCCTTAGTGACGAGCGCGAGCAAATGGCTGTCCATGCTTGTGGCGTTCGAAGGACTGAGACTAACATCGTGAAACAGATAAATCATCCCCTATCACAGCCAGTCGCAAGCCAAGAATATTATATCTGGGAGATAGTCGGGACGAAGCGGGAAAACCGACTGAAATCCTCGGCGTTCCTCCTGCGCAAGATCTGGAGCGGTAAGTAACATAACACGATCCTCGATAGAAACTGAAAGATCAGTCCGAGATGTGGAATACCACCTTACCCACGACGTCCC